TCAAAATATTTTAGGATCTTAAACAGGGACATCATATTTTATTGAGATATAATTTACATACCATAAAATTCACCAATATAAATGTCAGTGATTTTTTAGTAAATTTATGGACTTGTATATTCTTGATTACAATCTAATTTTAGAACATTTCCATCACCCCAGGAGATCCCCTGTGCTGGTTTGCTGTCAGTGCTATTCCTGTGCCCCAGCCCCAGCCCCAGCCCCAGCCCACAGGCAACAACTAATCTATTTTCTGTCTCTGTAGATTGGCATATTCTAAACATTTCATATAAATGGAACTATACAGTGTATGGTCTTTTCCTCTGGCTTCTTTCTCTTAGCATAACGTTTTCAAGGTTCATCCTTGTAGCAGGTATTGATATCTCATTCCCTTTTATTGTGTGAATACTGTTCTATTGCATGGATATGGCACATTTTGTTTAGCCATCAATTGATAGACATTTGGATCATTTCCACTTTTTGGCTATTGTGAATAGAGCTGCTGTGAACACTTGTGTACAAGTTTTTGTGTGGACATGTGTTTTCATTTCACTTGGGTAGATGGTATCATATAGTAACTCTATGTTGGCTTGTTGAATAACTGCCAGATTATGTTCCAGAGCAGCTGCAATGTTTTACATTCCCACCAGCAATGCATGAGGGGCCCATTTTCTCTACATCTTTACCAACAACGTGTTGCTGTTCATCTTTTTGATTGTAGCCATCCTCATGGGTATGAAGTAGTATTTCATTTTAGTTTTTTTTTTTTTTTTTTAAATATATTTTATTGATTTTTTACAGAGAGGGAGAGAGAGAGTTAGAAACATCGATCAGCTGCCTCCTGCACATCTCCCACTGGGGATATGCCTGCAACCCAGGTACATGCCCCCGACCGGAATCGAACCTGGGACCCTTCAGTCCGCAGGCCGATGCTCTATCCACTGAGCCAAACCGGTTTCGGCTTCATTTTAGTTTTTGATTGGCATTTACCTAATGAGTGATGATGTGGAACGTTTTTTTCATGTTGATTGGCCATTCGTATATCTTCTTTAGAGAATGTCTATTCAGATCCTCAGCCCATTGGATTATTTATCTTTTCATTATTGACTTGTAAGAATTTTTTGTATGTTCTGAATATTTTGTATGTTCTGAATACTAGTCTCTTATCAGATAAATGATTTGCACATATTTTCTCCAAGGCTTTTTGTGTATCACTTTCTTGGTGGCAACTTTTATGTTTTTAATATGTCTTTATTGATTTCAGAGAGAGCAAGAAAGAGGGAGAGAGAGAGAGAAAAACATCAAAGATGAAAGAGAATCATTGATTGGCTGCCTTCTGCATGCCCCCTACTGGGGATTGAGCCTGCAACCCAGGCATGTGCCCTGACTGGGAATTGAACCCGGCAACCTCCTGGTGCATGGGACAAAGCTCAACCAACTAAGCCACACCAGTCAGGCTCTTGTCAGTTTTAACTTAACACGTTAAGCGGCCAGTCAGTCACCGGTGACTGACACTATACTTTCCATCCGGAAGACAAAACAGGCTGGGCGCTTAACGTGTTAATGTATTATGGGGCTCTCTTGTTAGATGTATATAATTCTATTGTTCTAATGAATTAATCTTTTCATACTTATAAAATATCCTCTTTGTCTCTATAACATTTTTTTGTCTTAAGGTTGTTTTTTAAAAGGCTGAGGGAACATTCCTTTCCCCATCCCTCTGATTTTCTGCTTCTTATCCTATAGTTTGGAAAACCAGGTGACCAAACATGTTAGAGCTGTACTAGAGCAGGACTACTTGCTCCTCTATTTTTATGTTAGGGTTCCGAGTAAGATTTCACTTTTTAAAAAGAATTTCTGCAGTTACTTAAATTCTCTTATTTTACCTATTTTTGTCTTTTTACAAGTCCTTTTGGCTTATGGATCTCTGTTCTTGAGGCTTTTGGATAACTGACCTTTAGTTAAGTGAAGTGAATAATATTTTTAAGAATATCTCACCTAAAATGTTAACATTTGGGGGATTCGAGTGAAGGGTATATTGGATTCTTTGTATACTTTTTTTTCCAAGTCCAAATTGTGTCAAAATAAGTTAAAGAAAAAAATCTGCACCTAAGTGAGGTGTTATTAGTTACCTTTTCTTACTTGCAGGTAATACTAGTCTTATGCATTGACTTTTGAAATTGATTTGGCAATGTAACCTCATAAAGTGGTTCATGAGTCCTTAGTTTGCAGTCATGCACCATTTAACAATAGAGATAGGCTCTGAGAAATGCATTGTTAGGTAATTTCATCTATGTGAACATCATAGAGTATACTTACACAAGCCTAAATGGTATAGCCTACTAGACACCGAGGCTATATGGTATATGTGGTCTGTTTTTTACCAAAATGTCATTGTGTGGTACATGACTGTAATTCTTATCTCTGGTATTGACACAGCTATGTCTTAGTAGTGTCATCTGATAGGCAAATTTCTGGGAGTTATCATAGATTGTTTCCCTTTAAAACCATATTCACTCAGGCAATAAACCTTGAATTTAGAACTTCGTTTAATGTATCTTGAATCTATCCCTCTTGCCAATATTTTCATTCACACCTCAGCATCTCTTTCCTGGATTATTGCAGTAGATTTCTAACTGGTCTTATTTTATATCTGCTCTCTGTCTTCATCTGCCTGCTTCTAAAGTATGCAGTAAACTATTCACGGTACCATTCATACACTTAATCCATGCTGTCTCATGACTTTGCTTGTGATCTTCCTTCTGCTTGGATCAGGTAATTTTCTGTCTTTGAGACTCAGGTCCAGCATCTCTTCCAGTAAACCTTCCTTCGAGTGTCCGACTTCATTCTTTTTGTATATAGTTAACCAGTTGTCCCAACACCATTTATTGAAAAGAGGGTTCCTTCCCCATTGAAATGTCTTGGCACCCTTATTGAGAATCGACCATAAATATGTGGGTTTATTTCTGGGTTCTCTGTTTTCATTCCATTTATTTTTACATCTATCCTTATGCCAGTACCACGCTATCTTAATACTATAGCTTTGTGGTAAGTTTTAAAATTGGGAAGGATGAGTCCTCCAACTTTTTCCTCTCTTCAAGATTGTTTTGCCTTTGGCTATTCTGGTCCCTCAAAGTTTTATGAGTTTTAGGATCAGTTTGTTAATTTCTGCAAATAAACTAGGTGGATGTTGATAGGATTTATGTTTAATATGTAGAGCAATTTGGGATATTTCTCTCCATTTTTGTCTTAGTTAAGGATTGTTATTCTCAGGTCTTCAAATTTAATATTTCTTCGTATTTTTTTGATTGTGACAAAAAGTGCCTTCTAAGGTACATAACATAATAGTTAGACAGTACTTAATTTTGTGATGCATGTTTGTGGTGAGAAGAGAAGAATTTTTTTATTGGTAGTACAACCATTCATTTGAAAAACTTTTTCCTTACATGATCATATACTTTACAAAGTGGTCCCTGAAATATTTTGCTATACACCTGAAACTAATGCAAAATAATATTGAATGTAAACTATAATTTTAAAATAAAATTTAAAAAAATAACTTTTTCCTTATATGTTCCACATATTTCCACATGTTCTTTGTGGAAAACTGTAAAAAATACAGAAAAGCAGAAAGTCCATAATTATACCATTCAGAATTAATATCATATATGTATCTATGTGTGTATATATGAAGGCTTATTGTATATATTTCATTTAACCATATAATATATAGATGTCTTTTAATCTCATTAAAAGCTAGTGGATTTTTAAAAATATTGTATCCATCTCATTTTGAGATATTTAATTAAATCCCTATTAGGCTTATGTTTAGTTACAGTTTTTTCCAAATTTTAAGTGCTGTAATGAATGTCTTTATAATTAAATCTTTGCACAAATTGACTATTTTTCTAAGGCAAGTTCCTATAAGTAGAATTGCTGGTTTAAGAGGATACATATTTTAAAGTGTTTCTTAAAAGATTTTGTATAGTGTTTTAATATTTTTGTATTGTATGTTAATATTTTACAGTAGTTTATGCTAAAATCTGAGGCAAGCTCATAAACAAGTATTTTGTGTACCTCAAAAGTATAATTGGATGTTCATAGCAGCATTATTCATAGTATTCAAAAGGTGGAAACAACCCCAATCCATTGACCAGAAGAATGGATAAACAAAATGTGGTATATACATACAATGTAATATTGTTCAACCTTAAAAAGGAATGAAATTCTGATAACATGTTACAACATCAGTGAACCTTGCAAACATTTTGTTGAGTGAAATAAGCCAGACACAAAAGGGCAACTACTGTATGATTCCACTTAGATGTGGTACCTAGAATAAACAAATTCATAGAGACAGAAAGTAGGATAGAGATTACTAGGGACTGGGGAGATGAAGAGTTATAGTTTAATGGGTACAGAATTTCAGTTTAGGTTGATGAAGTGATCCAGGATGGAGAGTTCTGGAAATAGATCATGGTGATGATTGCGCAACATTGTGGCTATACTTAAAGCCACTGAAGTGTATGCTTAAAAATGGTTAAAATAGTAAATTTAATATTAAGTATATTTTACCACAATAAAAAAGACTACCATCAGATTCCAGAATTTTAGACAAAAAACAATTACTGAGAAACAATGTGCTTGTTTTAATTATTGTGTGTTACCTTTTACCTTGTAGCTAAGTGAACTCAGGTTTAGATACTTGTTTTAGATATGATGGATTGATAGATGGGACTGAGAAACTAGGTTCCTAACCAACATTCATTCAATATGAAGACTTACTGAGCTATATGCCAAGTAGCCTGCTAGGCACTGAGGGTTACAGTGGTAAACAAGATAAGACATAGTCCCTGGAGTCTGCTGGTTGCTAAGCTTGGACAGAAAAAAGAACAAACTTCTTATTAAGAAAAAATGGATTAAACAATCAGGTGACTTGTTTTCTCCTTAATGATTTCCTTTGTGAGGTAATTTTAAAATATCCTTTTTTTCCCTTTCAGGTTACTATGGAAACATGACCACATAAAAAGGAAGTCCATTCTGATAATTCTGATACCTGAGATGTAACTGGTCTGAAGGGTAGAACAGGGAAATTTTTAGTGCCAACCTTAATTACAATGGCTACTGATTCAGGGGAGCCAGCTAGCACAGAAGATTCTGAGAAACCTGATGGAGTTTCACTGGAAAACAGAGTTCATCAGATGGCAGCCACTTTGACAGTGGAAGCTAGACTGAAGGAAAATGACAGTACCATCTCTGCTGGGGGGGAAACTGTCGAAAGGAAGAGATTCTTCCGAAAGAGTGTTGATGACAAAGTTATTGATTCTTCCTCCAAAGATGAGAGAACGAAGGCTACAACAGAGATTCCAGGCGGAGAAAAGCTTCCTGCAAATGTGCTAAGAGGTGAAAAAGAAGTCAAATTCTCACAATGTTCAAAGGCAACTTCCGAATCCTCCAAAGATTGTCTCAAGGAGAAAAATGAGAAGGAAATGGAAGAAGAAGCGGAAATGAAGGCTGTAGCTACTTCTCCTAGTGGCAGGTTCCTGAAATTCGACATAGAGCTGGGAAGAGGAGCCTTTAAAACAGTGTATAAAGGACTGGACACTGAAACATGGGTTGAGGTTGCTTGGTGTGAGTTGCAGGTCGGTATATAATCTTCCTGGTTTTAATAAATTCCAGTTTTAGTTGACTTGGTCTTCTGAGTGATCCAGCATTAAAACGCATCCTAGATTATAATAAAATTAAGCGCTTGTCCCCCCCCCCCCACCTCCCAGAAATTGTGCCCCTTTCCTAGATCCTCTTAGGATAGTGGTTCTCAACCTTCCTAATGCCGCGACCCTTTAATACAGTCCCTCATGTTGTGGTGACCCCCAACCATAAAATTATTTTCGTTGCTACTTCATAACTGTAATTTTGCAACTGTTATGAATCGTCATGTAAATATCTGATATGCAGGATGTATTTTCATTGTTACAAATTGAACATAATTAAAGCATAGTGATTAATCACAAAAACAATATGTAATTATATATGTGTTTTGCGATGGTCTTAGGCGACCCCTGTGAAAGGGTCGTTCGACCCCCAAAGGGGTCGCAACCCACAGTTTGAGAACCGCTGTCTTAGGACCTCACGCCAGCTATTTTTTTTTCCTGTTGCTTTCCCCTCTGGTTTAAGAGGGGGAAACTCTATGGCAGTGGTTCTCAACCATGGCTGCACATTAGAATCACCTGGGAATCTTTTTAAAATCCTGATTTCTGGGCCTCATCCTCCGGAAATTCTGTTTCTTTGTTACTAATGTTGTGGCTCCACCCCATAACAAAGAAACAGAATTTCCGGAGGATGACGCCCAGAAATCAGGATTTTAAAAAGATTCCCAGGTGATTCTAATGTGCAGCCAAGGTTGAGAACCACTGCTCTATGGTGTCGTTGGGAAAATGCTCTTAATTTATTAACGTTAGGAAATTTCTGAAACTCTTAACGTCTCATTTTTAAAACTTTCACTAAATTTGTGCTTTAAAACTTGATATAATAAGTGCTTAAGACTGTGATATATTAGTCATATGTCCTGTGATACCTCCCTTTTCTCTTAACAAATTTTTGGGGGTTCGTGTACTGTTTTTTAGAACAGGAAATGCTTTTCTTGATTCCTTGAGGATTTCTATTAGTATAAACTCACACATGCCTTTGTGTTTACCTTGAAGAGGATCTCTGGAAGAAATAATCAGCAGAATTTACTGAGGTTAGTCAAATGTAATGTGCTTAGAAAGGAGAAATGAAAGCAACAGGACTGTAGTTGCATCAACTGGATACCTGGTTCCATAATAAATGTTTATGTGAACTTCTAACTAATGAATGACTACATAGGGGGTCAAGTATCATAGAAGGAGTTATAATAATAGTTTCAGACAGATGTAGGTTAAATATAAGGAAAAACCTTTGTGACTTCAGTCAGCTCAAGAGAAATGGTCAGTTTTCACAGGAGATGCTTAAAATTAACATAGAATAAAGCCAGTACTTCTAGGCAGGTGATTATTGTTCAAATTCCAGTAGTCTCTGTGCCTGTGGGTGTATCTGATTTCACCCTTTCTGAATATGCTACAGGTTGCCATTTAGATAGGTTTGAAATTTAGTGCAAGTCCCTGCATTTCTAGGAAGCTTCTTTGTTTAACACCAAGTTTCCAAACTTTGCTCTCTGTAAAAGTCAATGATTGCTTCATATGCACATTCAGGAGTTTATTGTCAGAGATTCAAATTCAGCAAGTCTGGGTGGAGTGCAAGACAACAGTTTTGGTTCTAGGTTGCAGGTTCAATCCCTAGCCCTGGGGCCCTGGTTGGGGCAGCTGTGACAGTAAATGTGTATCACTTAGGTCTCTCCATCCCTCCCTTCCACTCTTTAAAAAACCAATGGACTGGTTGAGGTGGCTGGGACAGTAGATATGTCTATCACATAGATGTATATCTATTTCTCTCTCTCTCCTCTCTCCCTCCCTTTACCTCCCTCTTTCCCCCGCCCCTCTCTCTTCCTCCCTCCCTTCCTCTCTCTGTAAAAACAGCAATGGAAAAAATATCCTGGGTGAGGATTAACAAAAACAAAACAAAAAACAAAGTGTTTTGAATGTGGGAAATCCCTTGATGACTCTTTGGAATGCAAATAACTTAGCAGTAGAGCCATTATAGTAGTTCTTGAAAAGTGTATGCAGGTATGGGGTTTGCTTGATTTTCTTCTCATCCCCTTTTTAATCCTTTAAGAATTTTATAAGGTCTGTGTCACAGTAGAAATATTAGATAATGCAAAAAAACAAACATGAAAACCACCTGAGGCCCTTGCCGGTGTTGCTCAATTGGTTGAGCATCCTCCAATGGACCCAGAGTCTGGTCAGGACATTCCCCTCCCGCCCCCCAAAAAACACCTTAAATTCTAGTGCTTTGAGGACGCTTTAAACAATTTAGTCTATCTTTCTGGACCCTTTTGCATAAATGTATATATGACTTTGTGTATTTTCTCCCCCACCAATTGGAATCAAACTATAAGTTTTTACAAAACCTTTTAAAAAACTTACCACTAGCATCTTTTCATTACCAGTAATTGTACATTTACATCATTATTTTACTACATGCCCTGATAAGTTATTTAACTAGTCCTCTATTATTGGACGTTTAGATTTTTCTCCAATGTTTTACCATTATAATTATGTTGTGATCATCCTTATATATCTATTGAATATTTTGTACATTTTAATTTCACCTCTGCATCATGACATTGGTAACGCTCATCTTGCAGTGATACTCTGTAAATGGGGGAAGTAATTTCCATTCGCTTGGTAGGCTATATAGTAAAGATAGGTCAAGTTATTTTGCAAATTGTGCACTCTAACTATGCTAAAGGATGTTTAGGTAAAAGTTGAAGAAAATATTCTAGCAGTGGGACCTGCCTCCTATCATTCGCCTGGGGAAAGATTGAAAGATCCTATAAGGCAGGGGTCCTCAAACTACGGCCCGCAGGCCACATGCAAATACAAATATTGTATTTGTTCCCGTTTTGTTTTTTTACTTCAAAATAAGATACGTGCAGTGTGCATAGGAATTTGTTCATAGTTTTTTTTAAACTATAGTCCAGCCCTCCAACGGTCTGAGGGACAGTGAAGTGGCCCCCCTGTTTAAAAAGTTTGAGGACCCCTGCTATAAGGTCTTCCTAGCAAAGCTTGTTGGAATTGCATGTTCCCAGGCCTCATTCCAGACCAATGATTCAGAATCTGCCGCTTAGTAACATCTGCAAATGATGAACAGCAGAGTTTGAAAAGCACTAAAATAAGGGACCAGTTCCAAGAACTAGCTGAATCAGAGGAGGAAATCCCCAAATACACTTAACATGAGTTTTATGTTTTAACATATACTAGAGGCCCAGTGCACAACATTCGTGCACTTGGCGGGGGGGTCCCTCAGCCCGGATTGCACCCACTCACAGTCTGGGACCCCTCGGGGGATGTCCACCTGCCAGCTTAGGGAGCAGGCCTAAGCCGGCAGGCAGACATCCCCCGAGGGGTCCTTAGAGCTGCCACAGAGGCAGGAGAGGCTCCTGCCATCGCCACTGCGTTCCCCAGCTGTGATCCCGGCTTCTGGCTGAGTGGCGCTCCCCCTGTGGGAGCGTACTGACCACCAGGGGGCAGCTCCTGCATTGAACATCTGTCCCCTTGTGGTCAGTGCATGTCATAGCAACTGGTTGTTTTGCCATTCAGCCTATTTGCATACTAGCCTTTTATTATATAGGATACTGACTCCTGGCACTCACTCCAGACTTTCCAAATCAAAATCTCCAGGAGATGGGCCCTAGGAACTTATTTTTTAAAAATATGTTTTTATTGATTTTTAGAGAGAGAGGAAGGGAGAGAGAGACAAACATTGATGAGAAACATGGATCAGCTGCCTCCTATACACCCTTACTGGGGGTGAGCGCACAACCCAGGCATGTGCCCTGACTGGGAATTGAATCTTTGACCTCTCAAGTGCATGGGATGATTCTCAACCAACTGAGCCACAGGGCCAGGGTCCAGGAACTTATTTTTAAAATGTTCCTCAGGTGCCCTAACCAGTTTGGCTCAGTGGATAGAGCGTCGGCCTGCGGACTGAAGGGTCCCAGGTTTGATTCCGGTCAAGGGCATGTACCTTGGTTGCGGGCACATACCTAGTAGGGGGCGTGCAGGAGGCAGCTGATCGATGTTTCTCTCTCATTGATGTTTCTAACTCTCTATCCCTCTCCCTTCCTTTCTGTAAAAAATCAATAAAATATATTTAAAAAAATGTTCTCCAGGTGCAATAAAGATTTAAAAAATAAATAAAAAGTTCCCTAGATAATTGGATACAAAGCCAGATTTGGGACTCTCTCATGTGCAGCAAATGTTATAAATGATATAAACTACATTTTAATTTATACAGAGAACAATTGCAATTTTCAATTATGAAAGGAATGTCAGAATGAGTGAACTTAGTTGATATAATTTTTGGGTATCATTTCATTTTCTACATATTTGGAACTAAGAAAAACTAACTTATTTAGAATATCAGAAGGATATGCGTAATGATTTTAGAGAGAGGGAAAGGGGAGGAGAGAGAGAGAGAGAGAGAGAGAGAGAGAGAGAGAGAGAAACAGAGAAACATCAATGTGCGTTGGTTGCCTTTCAGACGTGCCTAGACCAGGGATTGAACCCACAACCTAGGTATGTGCCCTGACTGGGAATTGAACCCACAACCTTTTAGTTCACAGGTCGATGCCCTCACACTGGCCAGGGCAGGGCATCGCCTTTTAATTACTTTCCTGTGTGTACTATGCAGTTTGTAATGGACGATTTCTCATATTTTTAAAAATAAAGTGTTCTTTATTATGTAATTACACAATTTTATAGAAAAACATCCCAGTTAACAGTTTAAATTATTCTAGATTCTTTCCAATCTTTGTTTATATGTGTATGTAATATAAAAAATTGGTATGTCCACTAACAACGTGATATATATATATATTCTATTTACTAACATCATTTAAATTGTAAACTATATTGCATTCACACCACCTCTTGCTTACTCTTCTCCCCTGAAATTAGGCAATTCTGTTCTTTTTAAAAATTTTTATCTTTTACATGTTTAATTT